TCTATTATTAATAAACATCTATATATATATATATATTTTGAATTAGGAATATCGAAACTACAAATGTACTGATATGTTTGTTTGTAGTATGGAGGGGCTACCTATGAAACCTACAGTATGCTGACCAAACTGATTTATAATTTTAATTTTAGGTTCCTGATTTACTAATAGATAAAGAACTGGAACCCCTCAATATAAATATAGCTAGTCTTTTACCTGAGATATCTCCAAATTATAGACCACTTGGGGTTAACTTAGACTCACAACCAAAACGTGTTATGACTGATGATGAAGCTTTGAGTAAAGTGATGTCTAATAGAAATCAAAGGTAAGTGATTAATAATTATTTTCGTACGCTTCAACTGAAATGAATTTGGTATTTAGAAAGGCTTGTTGGGTAACAGGAACAAATCATCTCAGAAAAACACGTGTTTCAGAAACAGATTTCAAATTTATTTATATTCGAAACATTGGCAAAAAAATTTGTGATTTTCTGATATAATTTGATCCTGTTATCCAACAAGTTCAAATAAAAGTCATTTGGATCACTAGACTATTTAATGGATTTAATATTTGGGAATAATGATTGAGGTTTTGTAAACTGTTCAATGAAAGTCTCACAATGTAGTGTTACTAGTAACAGAACACTTATGTTGCAATACAAGAAATAAAACAAAGTCATGAAAATGTAAATGTAATTTATTAATAGGTCAAAGAAATTATGAATATTCACTCTCATGTATATGCGAAAATTCTAAATAATATCTCCAAGCTTGTATAAGAAAGCTAGTAAAAACTGAGATTATTTAAGCACTCTAGACAATTTTTTCAAGATGTTATTAACATTTTAACTGTTAAATTTCAATATTTATAATAAACTGGAAAATAACTAATTGATTATCTGTTTCAAAATGTTATATGTATATATGTTTACTACAAATTATCAACTTCATAAGGTTGCATTTGTTAGTTTTCATTCAAATATATTACAATTGTAGTTCTTCATCGATATTTTGATGAATGATGAATGTTATTATTATTATCATTATGATTATTAATGTTTTTATCATTTCAGAACAAAAGTATATTCTGGAAATAAGTCATTTGGGAAAGTTGAATCATTGTTCCAGATTTGTGTAAGGGTACTGCAAGATAATATTGATGGTAAGTTGTCTACATATACCACTTTCAATTTGTCTACATTCATTATCTGATCAATACACATGTTCAATCTTGAAGCCTAAGTTATCAACCATATTTCCAAATTTCAACACATTATTCTTTCAATAAATTGATGGATGTAGCCGTTACTATGTGGTAGGAGATCATGAATTAGTCTAAGATCCCAATATAAAACGACCTTCACCGAGCTGGTCAATGGATAAAAAGTATTTCAAGTCAAATTAAATATATCGTTA